CATAATGCCAGACGTTTAGTGTGTCAGGGCCCCTCCTAAAATGTGGCACCCAGAATGAAGCACAGTACTGCACTGGTGACATGTCCAGTTCTGAATACAATGGGCCTCCCATACCCTCTGCTGACACTGAGCTCAAACACAGTGTAATGGGGCAAACATTTCATTTTATCTTCTACTCTGCTCTCTACTAATATCACACCCTTCTGGTCACCAAATGTGTGGTTTTCCCACACCAAGCAGTTCTCTGACACCAGTCCTACAATTCATTTCAGTACTGACACTATTACATGGCATTAGCACAGATGCCACAGGTTAGGGTCTGAGTCCCACAAGACGGCCCCACAGCCCTTCAGATGTCAATCACAAGTCCAGGTTGTTACTTGTGTTTCTGAACAGCTATAAATCAGAATTCTTACCCCCTCCTCAGGTTTGATTAATACTAGAGTGGTTCAGAGAATTCAGGAAAACTGTTTATTTACTATGTTATTGGTTTATTATAGAAGGATATAACTCAGGAAAGCCAGATAGAAGAAATACAGAGTGCAAGGTATGTGGGAAGGTACACTGCCCTACCAGCACATAGATGTATTCAGCGTCTGGAAACTCTCTGAACACCATACTTTTGGGATTTTTAGGGAGGCTTCATCATGCAGTTATAATCAGTTATTATATGATCAGTTAATTATAGTCAATTATTATCTCAATCTCCAGCCCCTTTCCAATTCCTAGAGAATGGGGGGCTAGGGCTGGAAGTTCTGAACTTCTAGTCATGGCTTGCTTTTTCAGGTGACCAGCCTCATCCTGAAGCTCTCTGGGAGCCCACCAAAAATATCCTTGTTCATACAAAAGACACTCCATTACCCAGGAAATTCCAAGGGATTTAGGAGCTTGATGTCAGGAACTAGGGTCAAAGCCCAAATATTATAACAAAAGATGCTCTCAGGGTTCTCATATCTGATGAAACTACAAAGGTTTTAGAAGCTCTATGCCAGAACCTGGGAGCAGAGACCAATATATATATTTTCTATTATTTCATAACAATTAAAACCCAAACATTTATTCTATGTAATCATTTACACATACTCTTATCTAAAGACAAACTTTGCACATATCTCTAAGATTTCATCTTGTTAGTTTTAGTTCATTTTTCTTCCAAGGCTTCCCAGTATTCTACTATCTACATATTTACTGAAGTGATTTGTCTGTTTTCCCTCAGTTGTGGATTAAAAAATATTGACTAAGAACAAGTCACATGCAAATCATCTCAAATTCTGCCTCCAACACACAGGGTTTACATCAACTGTACAGTCATAAGCATGTTGGTATATCACCTATTTTATTAATACAATCCAGTCTAGAATTCTTTGGCTTACTTTAAGACTTTGTGAGCAAGATGTACTTAATGAGTCACTGAAATTAACAAATACTATATCTGTATCATTCCTTCCATTTTGACTGCAGTAACCTTATCAATAAAGAGAAGGGGACCAGTTTGACATAATGTTTTTAGTCAAAATGTACCAACCCTTTGTGACCTTCACCTTCATGTTTTGTTTTCACTATTAGTATATTTAATTCTTTGGCCTGTAATTTTGCCCAAGATTGTCCATAGCCTCAAGTTCTTTGATTTTATTACCCATTTGTATCTCCTTTTAGATGCATCAATATTTGTCTCCTGTTATCTGGCATATCTTCTTCTTGATGAGCTATCAAAGATTACTCTACAGGGTTTCATGGTAACATCTGCCTTAACATTTTAGCAAGGGGGACTACACCAAACTATAAAGTTTCTGTACGGCAAAGGACACCATCAACAGAACAAAAAGGCATCCTACAGTATGGGAGAATATATTTGTAAATGACATATCCAACAAGGGGTTAACCTCCAAAATACATGAAGAACTGACACGCCTCAACACCCAAAAAGCAAATAACCCAATTAACAAATGGGCAGAGGATATGAAGGGACAGTTCTCCAAAGAAGAAATTCAGATGGCCAACAGACACATGAAAAGATGCTCCACATCACTAATCATCAGGGAAATGCAAATTAAAACCACAATGAGATATCACCTCACACCAGTAAGGATGGCCAGCATCTAAAAGACTAAGAACAACAAATGCTGGCGAGGATGCAGAGAAAGGGGAACCCTCCTACACTGCTGGTGGGAATGTAAGCTAGTTTAACCATTGTGGAAAGTGATATGGAGGTTCCTCAAAAAACTAAAAATAGAAATACCATTTGACCCAGGAATCCCACTCCTTGGAATTTACCCAAATAATACAACTTCTCAGATTCAAAAAGACATATGCACCCCTGTATTTATCACAGCACTTTTTATAATAGCCAAGATGTGGAAGCAACCTAAGTGTTCATCAGTAGATGAATGGATAAACAAGAGGTGATACATATACACAATGGAATACTATTCAGCCATAAGAAAGAAACAAATCTTACAATTTGCAACAACATGGATGGAGCTGGAGGACATTATGCTCACTGACTTCCAAATATATTATAATAGTCATGCACAGTAATGGTTTTTTAAAAAATCCACTCCTTCCTCATTCATAATGCTAAATGTGTTTTTTTCTAGATTAAAGTTGTTATTTATCTGCCTTACTACATTGTTATATAAAAACTCTTTAGATTAAAAAAAATTTTAGCAATATAGGCCTTTAGACTTAGGTTTAAAGCAACAAAAGTATTTCTAGATCTCTGCTTTTTTTGGCACTGTGGTCCTCTGATTCATTTATTAGGCTTTCAGTATGTACAGACTTTGTGCTCAGTGCTGAGGGTATAGTTGTGCCTATAGAATTTACAGTCAAATGGGGGAGACTGAAATGCACAGGAAATCTTCACAGAGTGTAATAACCCCTAAGGGTGCTATGGGAGCCCACAGGGGCTGGTGCTGCTGGCCCCTAATTAGATTTGCATTTTAGAAAGATGACTCTGGCTGTACTTGAGAACTGGACTTCTCCAACTAGTACGGTTGCATAGGAGTCGACTGGGAATTGACTAAAATACAGATTTTGACTCACTCTGTCTGGAGGGGGCCTGAGATTCTGCATTTCTAACAGGCTTCCAGGTAAGGTTGTTGCTTGTGGTACATAAAAAACACTTTGAGAGGTGAGGCTTTAGACAGTGGATTAGAGAATGAGATTAACCTCAGCGAGCTGAGTTGGAAGACTGGTGTAGTGATCTAGAAGGAAAACAATGCCAGCACAACAAGGGGACACTTGTTTCATTCTCTGAAGCCTGTAGATGGATCTCTGTGAAAAATAGGTAAACTAAGTAGGTATTGAGTATTTTCTTTCATCTGCCAATAATTGCACAGTTAAGGAAAGAGGGAGGAAGCTTCATTCCAGTCTTAGTTCCTAATAACCAGCCTCGATTGAAGCCCACTGAGGCCTCAGTGTGTCATCTCATCTGTAATATGGGACAGTGGCTGTTATGGACTGAACTATGCCCCTCTAAAATTCACACACTTAAGTCCTCACCCCCTCACCTTGGAATGTGACCTTATTTGGCCACAAGGTGATTGCAGATGTAGTTAGTTGAGGTTTTACTTAGGGGACTGTGGGCCCCTAATCCAGCTGACTGGTGTCCTTAGAGAAAGGGGATTCTGTACAAAAACACACATACCAGGAGAAAGCCAGGTGGAGCTTAGTCAGGCTGACCCAGGCCAAGGCACTACCGGAAGCCAGGACAGAGGCCTGGAACAGATAGGTCCTTTCTGGGCCACCTTCGGCAGGGGCATGGCACTACCAACACTTGATCTCAGCCTTTCAGCTGCCAGAACCGTGAGACAATACACTTCTCTTGGTCTAAGCCACTTAGTTTATGGTCTTTGGTACAGCAGCCCTAGCAAATCGTACACTGATACACTATTCTATCTTCTCCACATACCCTATAGGAAATCTAAATTAAACATGGTTAATATAGGAACATTTCTGCTTTTCCATCCATTATTAATTTGTGATTTTTCTTTTCAATTCGGATGATCCTTTAAGACTTTTTTCTCTTTTGGCTTTTACTTATGTTTCTTCTGTCGATTTTTTGCTAATCGGCTCAACAGATTCATTGCAAAGGAAGTACCCTGTTGAGGCCTCTGCTGGTTCAATAGGTCTCTGGTTGGACCCCAGTTCTTTATTTTTAAGGACTTTCCAGATGGTTCTGATGACAACCAGGTTTGGTGAACACTGCTTTCTGCACCAATGTACAGGTAGGCGACTTTTTGTTTGTCTATTTGTTTGTCTGCGGGTTTCTGAAATACAGGAAAAAGCTACGGAAATAATCTTAGGAGGAAAGGCAGCTATTGACTGGCTACTGTTTATGAAATGACTACTTGGTGAAACGCAGGTTTAACAGCTTTTTCTTCTCTTGTGAACCATCAAAATTCTGGAAGGAAGAGCTGGTCATACCCTCTGTACTGAACATCTAGAGAATTTTAGAAATGTCTGAGTGTGCTTCCTCAAATATGACTGCGATGAGTTTGGGAGAGAAGAAAAACCTTTTAGTTATGCTCTGAGAAGCCCCTGCTTAGGCAAATATTGACTGTGAACAAGAGTAAGTGAAAATCTTATAATTTATGATTCATTATTAATCTCACTCCTTTAATTCATCACAAATTGACTAACAACCTACCTCCTTCCCCGCCCTCCCCAAATTACTACATGTGGTAGATCACAGACCTGATGAGAAGCAGCAGCAATTCTCCATTAATATTTATAAATGTCTCGATGCTTATAATTCCCATCTATTTGGAAAATCAGCCCAAGTAATTAAGGAGTAAGGGGAATTATGAAGATGAAAAATATCGGGAAAACAGTGCACATGGAAGTTATCAACATTATTTTGCTTCTACTGTTACATTTTAATGACTTAATTTTCCATGGACAGCATTTTTTAAATGTAAATTTCTAGATTAAAAAAAATAAAAGCCCCAAACTTCATTATCACCCAAGCCAAACAGAAATTTTTCAAACAATAGACTTACATCTTTGGCTTTTCCACAAGGTACTGAAAGTGTTTACTTCCGATGATTTTCACCACCACCTCGGACATTGCATCTGACCCACCCGGAGTCTTCCAAACTGAAGACATAACTTCTCAAAATCCCTTCAAATCCCTGGGGTTGGAAAATAAGTAAATCTCTTACTTTTGATTTTCCTAGGCAACTGCAGTGTTCCTCTCCATAAAAACAACAATAGCAGGACCAAGTACTTACCTACATCATCGCACTTAACACACCTAGTAAAGGTATGAGTAAAATACTCTTAATTGCTATTATTATTCTTGTTTTACAGTTGAGGGAACAGGCATGATGTAGTTATATAATGACTCAAGCTCACATAACAGTAATAGCAGAGTTAGAAATCCCACCCAAGAGGTCTATAAAACTGGACTACCGAGCCATTCAGTGCCTCTACCTTCCTAGTATCAGACACGATTCTTGTGAGGTCAGAGGAAGCCGGACTTTAGCAGGACAGATGAAGATCTTATATTCAGTTCTGATGCTCAGTTTCCCCTTTTGTGAAACTGGGATAATTCCAGCTCTACTTGGGGTTTAGAGTGAATCTGAGCAGTATATCTGGGAAAAAGGGATTTTTATTACAGCTGATCTGTTTCTGCAATAATTCAGTGAATCTGAAATTGAGATCCTGTCCTAGATAAGCACTGGGTGTTTACATAAGTCTGCTGCCAAGGGAAACTTATAAGTTCTCTAAGCCTGGCCCCAGGCTGACCGACCACTCCCTTTCAAAGCCTCTCAGAAATTGAACGGTCTTTAGAAATTATTTTAATCCAATTGCTCCATTTACAGATGGGGAAACAGGCTCAGAGAGGGTGTGTTATTTGACCAAGGTCACACAGCAAGGGAGAACAATTCTGTTACCAGGACTTAGGTCTGAGGGAGACCAGCGTTCTAGGTCCCTAGCTTCACTTAGTCTGTAGTCAGCAGTAAGACTTGCTCTGCCAGGGTTGCCCCATCCACTGGGACCCTCAACCTCTTGGAAACTGACTTGAAACTTCAAGGACCAGAACTGGTGACTGGGGGGGGTGGGAGGGAGTCCCTTCCCCGCCCTGCAGCGGCGCATCAGCGCTGAGCCCAATCTCAGAAGAGACCAGAGGGGCGGCCTTACCGCTGAGGGCGTCTCCCCACCCAGGCAGCTCAAGGGTGCGCAGTCCGTGCTCTCGTCAGGAACCCGACCCGCGGCGGCCTGCGGGGACCGGAGAGGGGCGCGGTATTGGGGCCCGAGCCTCGGCCAATCACGGAGCCCGGCCCGCGGGCGGAGGCTGTCCCGGCCCGGGGTCGCTAAGGACGCAGGTTGTTGCTGGGCGGGAGACGAGGTTTCCAGCCACCCGCGGGAGGTCTGCTCAGCAGGTGCCCGGGGTGTGGCCGCTGACAGGCGGAGTCTGGGTGTTCTCAAGCCTGGGCTTGGGAGCTTCCTCAAAGATGTGAGCGTCCGTCCCGACGCCCTTCACCTGTGCGCTCACGCTTGTCCCGTTCTTTCCCTGAAGCTTCATTTTTCTTTATGCAGTTTGCACATAGTTGGGAATCTTACACTTGTCGGTTCAAATCCGGACTTCTCCACTGTATAGCTTTGGATAAATCCCTTCTTTTTCTTGAGATAAAGTTTCCTCATCCGTAGAAGAGGGAACAGTAATAACACAGACCTCGACGTAAGTTGGTGATGAACTTAAATAAGAATATTAAAAAAAAAATTTGAGTGGTATCCATATACTGGATTCCTTATTTGAGTCAGATAATTACTACCTTATAAGTTAACAATTACCAATAAGATAATATGTATACTTTAAAGATTAAAAAAAGAAGGCTTGTGGGGTATTGAGAAATTACTCGAGGCCCCAAGGAGTCAATTGACAGAGCCAAGATTTTAATATATTCCTACAGAATCTTACACTTGTCGGTTCAAATCCGGACTTCTCCACTGTATAGCTTTGGATAAATCCCTTCTTTTTCTTGAGATAAAGTTTCCTCATCCGTAGAAGAGGGAACAGTAATAACACAGACCTCGACGTAAGTTGGTGATGAACTTAAATAAGAATATTAAAAAAAAAATTTGAGTGGTATCCATATACTGGATTCCTTATTTGAGTCAGATAATTACTACCTTATAAGTTAACAATTACCAATAAGATAATATGTATACTTTAAAGATTAAAAAAAGAAGGCTTGTGGGGTATTGAGAAATTACTCGAGGCCCCAAGGAGTCAATTGACAGAGCCAAGATTTTAATATATTCCTACATATCCTACATTTTCAGGCATTTTTATTATGCTAAAAGACTTCAGCAAACGTGGGTAATAGCACTTTGAATTGACTCCAAAATGGTGTTATTAGTTTCAGCTGTGGCAGCCTCCATATCCCTGTCTCCTGCCCTCTGGCAGTTCTGGGTTGGTGGCTTCCTGTATCACCTACTGGCCATGTAGCCAGAGGTGGATGATGACTTAGCTCCCGCCTCGGGCTCACTCTCTAATGGGCAGTGAGTGGAAGGTCCAGCGTCTCAAAGAGCACCCATCAGCCATTCAAAGTTGTCCATGGTTTTAAAGTCTTCCATGGCCTGGTGTGGGAAAGTTGGGGTTCCTATGGCCAGGATCCTCACTGAACCTAAACCACTTGATGATGTAACTGGCCTGTTGCTCTGCTAATGCTTCCACACCTGTAGGCAATAACCTAATATTGCACTGTATAAGGGGCTCAGCCCTGTGCTCTGGGCGGAGGTAGAGACGCTAATGTTCCACTTACAAGCCGGGTAATAAACCCTTTCGCTGTAAAAAGTTCTACTGTCATTTCTTTGGTCACACTGAATCCATAGTGAACTTGCCCAGGGCTGAAACCCTTTGGCAAGACACCTGGCCTCAAGCTAGATTTCTGTCTCTACCTCCCACAACTCCTCCCAGGCTTTCTATATTCCCTCACCCAACCAGTCTGCTCACTGGCCTGAATCAGGCTTACCTTTTTCTGCCTATGTGCCTTTGTTCATTTGGTTCTGTCTTTCTACAGTAACCTCCTATTTGCTCATTGTGTCAGCCTGTTATCCATTTTTTAAGTTCCATCTCAAATGATCAAAGGTATGCACCCGGGAATCAGATATTCGGGGTTCAAATCCTAGCTCTGCTAGCTTAATGTGATCTTGGGCAAGTCACTTGACATCTTTATGCCTTGGTTTCCTCTTCTATAAAATGACAAATTTTTTTGCGTGTGAAGATTAATTGAGTTGTATAAGTAAGACACTTAGAACAATGCCTGACACACAGCGATATAAATGTTTGCTGTCATCATTGTTATAATGACTTGTCAAGAAGCCAAACCAGATCCCAGAAGCTGAAAATGATTTTTCCATTCGCTGTATAATTTGTGACTTCTCTCTTATGAGTGTATCTTCCTTTGCCTGATAGTATGAACGTTTGTTTGCATCAATTGTTATACCTTCCTGGACTATGTTTGTGGTAGGCTGAATAGTGGTCCCCCAAACATCCATGTCCGAATCTCTGAATCTATTAGTGTTGTCTTCTGTGGCAAAATGGCAGGTGTGATTAAGTTACAGATCTTGAGATGGGGAGATTGTGCTGTATTATCTAGGTGGGTTTTAAATGTAATCACAAGTATCCTTAGAAGAGGAAGGCAGAGGGATATTTCACTACAAAAGAGGAAGTAAAGAGATGTGACTGTGGAACCCAGAGGTTAGAGTCACGTGAAGAAGGGGTTTGAGCCAAGAAATGCATATGGCTTCCAGCAGCTAGAAAAGACAATGAAACAGATCCTCCTCTAGAGCATCCAGAGGGAGCCGTACTCTGCTGACCCCTGGACTTTAGCCCACTAAAACTGATTTTGGGCATCTGACCTCCAAAACTTAAGCAAATCAATTTGTGTTGTTATGAACCACTAAGTTTGGGATGATTTATTACATCAGCAATAGGAAACTAATACAGTACTATTGAGGGACCCACTTCTTAGACTGATTACACTCTATGACTTAACTAGGCCAAACAGAGTTCTTACTGGTGACCAGTATAGAGATACTGGAGGAAAAAGAGGTCTTCTATCTCTTGCAGTTACTAACCTGTGAAGAAAAGGTGTTGAGGTTTTTGGCAGTTATTTCTAACAACACATACTGCCTTTCTTTTTTAATTTAAGTATTGATAATATACAATCTTATGTTGGTTGCAAATGTACATCACAGTGATTCAACAGTCCCTGTGATGAGCCTATATAGTGATTGCAAATTATTGTGCCCCGTTACCCCCACCACCTCTGCCCCAACCCCTCCCTCTTCATAACCACTAGTTACTGCCCCATGTCTATGTGACTACTACTGTTTTGTTCCTTCTGTTTTGCTTTGTTTTTATATTCCACATATAGGTGAAACCATATAGTATTTGTCTTTCTCCACCTGGCTTATTTCTCTGAGCATAATACCCTCTAGATCCATCCATGTTGTTGCAAATGACAGGATTTCTTTTCTTTTAATGGCTGAATAATATTCCATTGTACATGCACCACATCTTCTTTATATATTCATCTACTGATGGACACTTAGGTTCCTTCCATATCTTGATGATTGCAAATAGTGCAGTGATAAAGATAGGAGTGAATATATTCTTTTGGATTGGGGATTCTCTTCTCTTTGGGTAAATTCCTAAGAGTGAAATTACTGGATCCACATATTGCCTTTTTCAGTGAAAGAGGAGGAAGACAGATCAGAACAGGAAATGGAGCCAGTGTGAGGAAAGGGATGAGCAAGCCTGAAGCTATTCTAGAATGGGAGTGAAAATTCCCCTTTAGCATAAGATATTTTGAGACAGGCTTCATTAATCTTTTAATCTTTACCCAAAGAGTCCTAACTAATATGGGGACTGTTTTTTTTATTAAGGTCATTGATATACCATGTTATGAAGGTTTCACACGAGCAACATTGTGATTTCAACATTCACCCATATTATCAGTTTCTCCCCCACACCCCATTGCAGTCACTATCCATCAGCACAGTAAGAAGCTACAGAGTCATTATTGTCTTCTCTGTGCTATACTGCCTTCCCCGTGCCCCACACCCATATTATGTGTGCTAATAATGCCCTTTAATCCTCTTCTCCCTCCCTCCACACCCATCCTATTATTATGTACCCTTCCCTTTGGTAACCACTAGTCCCTTATTGGAGTCTGTGAGTCCACTGTTGTTTTGTTCCTTCAGTTTTGTTTTGTTGTTATACTTAATATGGAGACTTTTAAACCTCAGGTTGCTAGGGTTTATATGTGAGGTGCAGTTAACTGATTGAATTACATTTTTAAGTTTCACTGTTTAACTCTGTGATAAAGCTTGAAAGAATAAATAAATTTTGATCAAATAAAATATTCAACTAAAGACTATCTTTTGACTTTATTTTGACTTAAAGTTTTTATAAATGCCTACTTGAAACATAATGACTTGGGAGGGAGGCTTTCTACTGTGCAGCTCTTCTATCAGTTTGCAGGTATTTGACATGGTTTTCAGATGCATGGGTACCTTCTTCTTTTCCATTTCCTAGCCAAGTGACCTTGAACAAACAATTTAACTCTTTTATCTTTAAGGTGGAGATAAACAATAATTACCCTGAAAATTGCTATCAGGAAGGGAGATATAATATTCTTAGATAGGTAATAGGCTTCCAATAAGTTGTATTCTTGTTTATAACAACAGCATGTAGCATTTAGTGAATATCTATTATGTACCAGATACTGTGCTAAAGTTTTTCTTTCAATATCCCATTATCTTCACAATACTCTTATGAAATAAGGACTTAATGTCCCCACTTTAGAGATGAGGAACCTGAGGCTTAGAAAAGATAACTTGATTAAGGGAATGTAACTAGGGAGTTGGAGCTGCAGTAAAAATCCAGGTGTATCTGACTCTAGAAGTAGCATTTACAGCTGCTACTTTGCATGTCATCTATGGATGTTAGTTAGTCAAGGTTATTATTAATTTTAATCTCTTCACTGGTATAATTTTAAGGCTCTAGGTCTCTTAGAGAATGCAGTTTCTATGACAGAAGTCTTAAGAAAGAGTAGGCTTTTCTTATCTGGGATTTTGTATTTCACACTCTGCTTTATGAAATGACATAACCAGGCAACATCTCTCTAGTGGTTTATATTAAACAAGGCAAAACAAAAAGCTATGCAATAACTGTCTCCATAAGATTAAATACTGTGGTTAAAACTGCTTTCCTTGAATTCAACAGCTTTAGATTATGAGTCGCCAGAGAAAGC